TGTCAACTTGCTTCAATATTGTCTATTTGTGAGAAGTGGACAGGTGCTACAATTATAGAGCATAGCTTTTTCATTAGGCAGGTTGTGTTTTTTTACTATCTTGGATGTACCCCTCACATTACTACAAAAATCACGTGAACACTGTTGTGTTCATGGGAATCTGGACATGTAAAAATTACTTTGTCAGTCAATATGTGCGTACCCTGTGTGTGATGGACAGCTTTTGTTATTTTACATTTGCAAAATCAGTTTTTATTTCATTTGTAAACGAATATGAATTCCTTATATTTTTTTGTTTGTTGTTTATTTGGTGTATAAATGGTTGTCTCGGTTCATAAATGATTTTGATTTTGTATTTTGAACACATTTTTTTATTTTATTTATTTCAACACACTGAAGTTGACTATAAAATCTGAAAAATAGGTTTATTATTTTTACATTAGGCAAGCTGTCCAGTTTATTATCATGGCTGCACAAAATATTATTTTGTGCACATTATTAAAATGTTTTTTGGTTCCCACAAAAAAGAGAATCAAACATGATGGCACCCTTGACAAGTTGTTGGATCCCTTACATCACAAACACCTACGCACATGACCCAAAATGGCCCCTACAACCTTGGCCATTATATTCTTCTCCTCTTGTCTATTTTTTTTCCTTCTTAGTTCACAGTGTGGTTTTCTCTCTGTCCCTCTCTCTCCTTGTACCTAGAACTCATTTATTTCCTTGGAAGTTTTTCAAGTTTTACACACTTTTCGTTCTTACATTTCCAAATGGCGAACGACGCAAGTCCGAGTCACCGCGTTGCACTTTCCATTCCCGCCCGGGAAGCTATCGATGAAATTACGAGGGAAATGGTGGTCGAAACTTATCACAACTTGGTAGAAGCTTATAACAGTGTGGCAAGATATTATTACAACCATTATCACAAAGTCCCTCGAAATACATCAATACTTTCGGGAGGTTTATGGATGTTTGAGTTGTTTAACGGCCACCACGGCCGATTTGAAGATAATGTCAGTATGTCACAACCAGTGTTCTTGTTGTTATGCGATGCGCTTCACGATTTTGGATTGACATTGCCGCAGCGGGAGCATGGCGTTCCGCTAGAAGAGAAGGTAGCAATTTTTATTTGTGCCTTGCAGGGTCTATCTTGGAAACATTTGCAAGAACGGTTCCAACACTCAAAGGAAACATTGTCTCGCAATTTTCATGAGGTAATACAAGTTATGATACCGTTTACATCGGTTCATAGTAGGAGTCTTACGCCCGAACAAGTACAACAAGGGGGTCATCCACATTTACGGTCGCAGCAGCAGTACTGGCCATTCAAGGTGACAATTTCCATAAATGTGAAAACTTTTTTAAAGCTTAGAAAAAAACAATGATTAAGTTATGTTAATTTGTGAAAAATTAGTGCGTTGCGTAGGACTGCATCGGTGCATTGGACGGGACGCACGTGATGGCTCGTGTCTCGCAGGAGTACGCCACATCATACTATGGCCGGAAAGGCGTGCCGACAAAGAATATAATTGCCGTATGCGACTTTAATTTGTGCTTCACCTTTGTCTCTGCCGGTTGGGACGGGAGCATGCACGACAGCCGGGTTTCGCACTACGTGACTACTGAAGAGAAACATCGCTTCCTGCACCAGGTAATTCATATTAAACAGGAATATGAATACGTAGAAACTATAAATATAAATATTTTCAATAATGTATTTTCTTGGCAACAAAATTGTGAAAATTATTGTCTTTTCTTTAATTTCTTTATTTTGTCAACAAAATCAGTTGTCTAATGTAGTTTATTTCCCATTGATCAAAATTTTTGCAAACAACTTAAAAAAATGAAACAAATGAAAATGAAAAGTTTTGCAAAATAATAATGTGAAAATGAAATGTTATAAAAATTAATTTAAAAAGTACTCCAAATAGAAATGCTGTTAATCAATTAGAAAGTAATTAGAAAAATAATTTTGTAATTGGAAATATAACTTTTCACAACAAAAGAACTTCACAATGAAATAGTAATTGAAAACAAAAATGGAAAAAGAAAAAAGTACTAACGAAATAATTAACAACAATGTAATTCTTATAAATTGTGCAAGAATTAATTCTTATAATTCGTTGAAAATGCAGTAATTGGAAATATAATTTTGCACAACAAAAGTAATTGCGAAGAAGAGTAATTGAAAACAAAAGGTCTAAACAAGAATAAATAATTATTAGACGAACCAAAAAGTGAGACAAGTTAATTGAAACATAATTTAAGTGGTAAATAGTAATTGAAAACAAAATTGGGATAAGAGCAATTTTTATTAATGAAAATGTAATTGTCATAAAAAAATTTAATTATTATAATTCACAAACAATGCTGCAATTGGGAATATAATTTTTTAGAACAAAAGGAATTGGGAGAAGGAGTAATTGAAAGCCAAATTGGGAAAAAATTAATTTATGAAATTATTCAACAAAACCGCTGTTATTAAAAAAAAAAATTTACGAACCAAGACAAGTTAATTGAAGAATAATTTCAGTGGTACAGATGTCAAATTGAAAATGAAATGAAACAAATTTTGCAGGAAAATACTATTTGGTGGATAGCGGTTACAGCAACAAGACAGGGTACCTAGCCCCCTACAAGGGGTATAGGTATCACCAAAATGCCCATCGAAATCGAACACCGTAGAATCAGTTCAAATTGTTCAACAAGGCACATTCGTCACTGCGTAGTTGTATTGAGCGGACATTTGGTGCCTGGAAGTCTAGGTGGGGGGCATTGCGGAATATGCAGAAGTTAAGTTTTTCTAATCAAGTTACGTTTGTATGTGCGTCGATGGTGTTACATAACTTCATACGCCGACATAGCGAACTTGATGAGGTCACGATGACTATCCTAGACAGTGACGAATACGTCGCCCCTCAAATGCCCGACCACGACGAATACACACAGGTTGCTGATGTGATGGAGGAAGGGGACTCGAACCTTGCAATGGCTGTTGTAAGAGCGAACATTACGAACGCACTCGTACGGCAAGCGCATCGGTAGGGGCGAATTGGAAATACAGGAATATTGGTTGAAGGTTGTTAATATCTGTAACTGAGATTCATATTTGTAAACACGTTTGGTTTTAATAGTTTCATGTCTTTCGGAGTGTAGACATTTTCTTTAAAGTGTATTTTTAAAGGAAGTATGTAATACCCCTGTTCCGTAATATGCCAATTGGTCCTTAAACTGAGTGATATGATTATGTGTTTTACCATGATTTTATGTGCCATTATGTGAATATATGTGATTTTGAAGTTTAATCTGTTCACCGTAGAATATCTGTTTGAATAACCTGTTTGGAAATTAAATTGAGGGCCTCATCGGCCACAGAACCCGAAATTGATTACGCCATTGTGGTTGGCATAATTTTTAGAGCCTACGATGAAGTTTAATTGAAAATTGATTTGGGCCAAATTAAATTGATTAAGTTGTAAAATGAGTGCCCAATTACTCTATATTTATTATATTGTGACTTAGTGAGGCTCTATACACTCAAATCCCTCTTTGTTATTCCTCTTGGCTGACTTAAACGTAAGAGAGAGAGAGGGAGTCGGCTAGAGAGAGGGAAAATAGGAGAGTTTGGTGTTTGGCTCAAATTCGTGAAGAAAGTGGAGGATTAAACTCAAGAATTACTATAGTTTGGAAGATTGAGCCTCTAGGTAAGCATTTGGTCTTGAATTCATAAGTTTGAAATTGTGATCTTGTAAGTTCAAGGGTTGTTGTGATCAAGAGCATGTAATAAGTTTGATTTTTGTTGAGTTTGGAGTCTTAGAACTCATGCATGTAAGAAATTACTTTGAATTTGCATGTTTGAGCTTGAAACACATGATTCATGTAGAGTTTTGGTTGGAACTCATGTTTTGATCACCATTCTGTACCATCTAAGTTGAGAATGATGAGGCATCTCCCACATGCATGTACAAATCATGGGAGGTATAAGTCTTGAATGTTTGAAATTGAGGCATGTTGATGATGGGTTTGAGATATTTTGGACATCATGTAGATAAAATTCAAGAAATTGAACTTCATAATGTTATGATCTTGTAAGGAAACCATGTTAGTATGATTATATTTGAGACTTGAGCCCTTGCATGCAAGAATGGTAGCCTGGGAAATCGAGTTGAAGCTCAAGAACACAATCTGGAATTTCCAGAATTTCTGCTCTCCGCTCAGAGCGGGGAAGTCTCACGCTCGAGCGGAGAAAACGAGTCCCAGTATCTTTTTGCAGACATGGTTCCGCTCGAGCGGGGGATTTGACGCTCGAGCGGGTAGCTATGTAGACAGGCATTACGCTCGGGCGGCCGAGTTCACGCGTCGAGCTGAGATTGAAGGCAACCAGTACTTTTGCAGACCTAAGGGTCCGCTCGAGCGGGGAAGTCTACGCTCGAGCGGAGGACCCTATTTTCTGAAATCCTGTTTTTGCGTTTTGTGTTCTGTTTTCCGTTTTTGTTTCACTTGCAAGCACCTCTTAGGCATATGTTAAGCATTGTAAATGAGTTAATGAGATAATAATAAAGCCTAAAGAGGAATATGTGAATTAAAGAACGGATTAAACTGTTAATGACCCCTTTTGTGTTCATGAAACGTGTAGGGTCAAGCTCCAGGGCAAATCAACAAGCCGATCACTGCGAGTAATATCAATGTTGAAAGCTTGTCCAATGTCCAATTGTTATTTCCCTATAAACTCTATAAGTCGTTGATTGGGATTGTGGACAAAAGTCTGACAGGAGTAAACGAATGGACCGAAGGTCGTTTTGATATGAATGGACCGAAGGTCGTTTTGATAAGAAATGAATGGACCGAAGGTCGTTTTGATAAGAATGAATGGACCACGAAGGTCGTTTTGATGTAAATGAATGGACCAAGGTCATTTCAATAAGAATGAAATGGACCAAAGGTCGTTTTGATGGAAATGAATGGACCAAGGCGTTTTGACATGAACGAAATGGGCCGAAGGCTGTTTTGGTATGAAGAGTGGGCCAAAGGCCGTTTTTGAACATAAAAGAGTGGGCCAAAGGCCGTTTTTGACATAAGTGAATGGGCCGAAGGCCATTTCGCCATGAATGGAAATCCGAATGGGCCGAAGGCCAGAATGTTTAGAACTACATTACTTGTTTTGAATTTCGTATATTATATATATTCGTTAAATAGAAGTGAGACTTGGGCCCAAGGCCGTTTTAGAGCATGTTGTTCTACATATTGTTGTGTAACTGCTATATTTGATATTATTCACTGGGCTATCGCTCACGCTCATTCATGTGTTTGTAGGTGAGCTAAGGGAAGTCCAAACCAGCCCCAGTGGAAGTCTGCTAGGATAAATCCGGAGTTTTGAGGAAGTCAGCCTGCGTCTCACTCTTGAGACCTACCCTTGCCTTAACTATGATTTATGTTTTGTCTTGCCGCAGGGACTTGATGTAATTATGTAAATAGTCCGTCATAGCGTGACTTGTTTTGGATGATCCTGTTTGTAAGAATTCTGTGAAGCTGTACTTTAACTGTGGGTTTATTAACGTAACTAAATGTGGTCTGTTAATGTGCATATAAGCACGGCTCTACGGACAAAGTTTTATTTATTGCTTCCGTTTGGCCCCTTTTCTCTGACAAGATATTGTCTGTTTTGGTCTGAGGCCGTAGGTAATCCCAGATTACTGGCCGGTTATGTCCTTACCCATAGGGGCGGGTTCGTTCATGACAGAGTGGTATCAGAGCACGAGTTAATAACTCACACACTTGTCCAAAAGAGCAATAAGCGTCTAGATAAGATCTAGGATGCATTCATGTGATAAGTTCGAGCTAGGAAGCATTGATTATATGCTTAAATGTTTTGTTATGAATATTTACTATGCGTAAGCTGTGACTACTTGTACTGCAAATTATCGGGAAATATGTGTTCCTTAGTGTATGCGTACACTGTGTACCTTCTGTATGAACTATAATGCAAGTTTAATCAGATGGTTGAGAACCAGAGGTGATGAGTTAGAGGAATCCTCTACTGCCGACTGGACAGAATGGAAAGACTGATCCAAGGAAATGCAGAAGCCTTGAGACAGCAACAGGAGTTGGCAACAACAGTGGCAGCAACCACATCCGCCATCTCCACTTCGCACCACCTGTGCCAGATAATCTAAATGGATGATCGGAATAATCGCTCTCACCAAGGAATTCAAGAAAATGAAAAACCACCACAGTTCCGATGGTGGACTAGATCCCTAAAAGCCGAAGCTTGGGTACTTGGATTGAAAAACTGTTTGAGGTTGTCCGTGCTCGGATATACACAGAAAGTGCTTCTAGCCACCTTATGCTAGAAGTGAAGCGAGAAGATGGTGGATGTTGATGAGGGAAAACCAAAGAGATATGTTGATGGGCGAAATTTTTTGGAAATCTTCTATGACAAGTACTTTCCCGCAGTGTGTCCGGGATAGGAAAGTGCAAGGTTCATGGAACTCAAACAAAGACAGTATGACTGTAGCTGAGTATGAGGCCAAATTTACTGAGATTGGCCAGGTTTGCACCACACGTAATGACCAACTGATTAATAAGAAGGCAAGGCATTTTGAAGGTGGGCTCCGAAAGTGACATCCTAGAGCGAGTGGAATGTCCTGAAGTTGGAAACCTATATCGGCGGTGCTTGACCGGGCCATTCATATCGAGGCTAATATAGCTAGACAAGCTAAGCCCAACAACCGAATGGAGAGGCAACAAAAAACAAGCTTTCTTTTCGAAGAAGAAAATTTCTGAAAAAAGCAAAACACGGGCTCTCAACTTACCTCAAGTTCTTTCCCGAGATACGGCTCATGTGCAACACTTGTAGCAAAAAAGGCACCGGGGAGTCTGTTACCGTGCATCGGGAGCCTGTTTTAAGTGTGGGGAAACAAGGGCATATAGCTCGAGATTGTAATCAGCTAGCTGCTTAGCCCACTGCATCGATCCCAAAGCCGGGAAACACTTTGAGATCTGCTACTACTGGAGATCACAGTGAGAACAAGGAGAGTTTTGCACTCGTTCCGGGCGATACGCGGAATGCCAATATACCGATTGTCTCAGGTACTATTTCAATATGTAATCAGGATGCCTTGTATTAATTGATTCTGATCGACGCACTCATTGCTGACTTATGCATTGTGATCTGCACCGGGACTAATGAAAATAGACCCGCTATACATTGTGCCATTTTTTAAGGTTCAATTGCCATTCATGTCCGATTTTCGTTCCTTTTGTGTCTGCTCCATCAGGGGAATCTTGTGTTATGTGACTATATTATATCGGTTTTATTTGGTACATTGCATATTGAGAGGATGTACCCATATATTTAGATTGTGTTGCCTTAAAACTTTAATGGACACTTCTGATGTTAATTTTTTGGGCATGGATTGGAATTGACCAAATATTTGTTATTGCCACTATAGATTATGTTGTGACAAAGAGAGTGGTTGTGTTTTTAAGACCCCCAAGAACAGAAAGATAGTGTTTGGTAGGACAATGGGCTTACAGAGTAGTGCCTCTCATCCATATTTTGATATCGTTGTCAAGCAACATGAACGCATGCAAAGATTGCAAATCAGGAAGGAATTCAGGTGCAACAGGTGGAAATTTATTTTGTGTTTATGACTGATCTGTAACTCAATCCGGTAAATGTTTGAATGGAATAATAAACTTTCCTATTGTTCAAGAAGAATTCCAGACGTAGTTTTCCGAGATTGATACGAACTAAACCAGTGGGAAAGTGAGTAGACGGAGAGAAATAGGAACTTTACTTTGAGACGTACCAGGCACCCAAGGCCGGTTATTTCTATGAATATCTACATACAGAAAAATAAAAGACTTACTGGGTCCCGAAATGAGAATTAAAGGAACAGTTGCAAGACCTTCTTGATAAAGGTCGTTCTATCCGGGCCCTAGCGCTTCGCACTTGGGAGTGCCACCAGTGTTATTGTAAAGAGAGATGGGTACTCTGCGTCCTGTGTATTTTACGGGAATTAAACAACTGTTCAGCGCTGCTATACGCGGTTGAAGAAGAAAGAAGTATCCCATGGTACTTTCGCGTATTGATGACCCTTATAATTTGACCACAGTTGCATGGGAATCAAGCAGGATAAAGATTTTTATGGAGATCTGGGTCATCTCAGCTGAAAGGTTAAAGCAGAGGAAGATTGGTTAAGATGGAAA